GTTCTACCCTCAGCTGATCCAATCTAGAATGATGGTTCTACCCTCAGCTGATCCAATCTAGAATGATGGTTCTACCCTGAGCTGATCCAATCTGGAATCATGGTTCTACCCTCAGCTGATCCAATCTAGAATGATGGTTCTACCCTGAGCTGATCCAATCTGGAATCATGGTTCTACCCTCAGCTGATCCAATCTAGATTAGTTTTTCTGCCCTACGCTGCAGGCGGGCCTGAAACGGGTTCAGCCAGACCCAGACCAGTCCAGACGGTCCAGACCAGAACAGGGGTGGGTAACTCCAGTCCTGGATCCTGGAACTCTTAGATGTCCTGAACAGGCCTGGGTCAGGTACAGAACCTCCTCCTCAGGAGGAGAACCAGAACCTGACGGGTCGTAATTGGCGAAGTTCACCAGGTTCTGATGGTTCTGTTGGTTCTGACTGACCCAGGGGGGTCCAGAGGCTGTAATTGGTTCTATGGTTCGGTCCCATTCTGGTGCCTCAGAGCTTCTGGTCACCTGGTTCTGATGGGCCAATCAGAAGCAGAGCTGGTTCCTGCTGTGCTCTTCAGGTTCTGTTGGGTTCTGTTTGGACTGATTTAACGGGTTCCTCTGCTGTGTCCGCCGGCAGGGAGCAGATCCTGCGGGTGAAGGAGGAGGAGACCGTCCCGCTGCTCCTGGTCGGGAACAAGTCGGACCTGGAGGACAAGCGGCAGGTCAGCGTGGACGAGGCGGCGGGCAAAGTCGCCGAGTGGGGCGTCCAGTACGTGGAGACGTCGGCCAAGACCAGAGCCAACGTGGACAAGGTGAGCGGGGGAGGGGGTTCTGGAACCGACCCGGGGCGACCCGTCCAATGACGCTCACCCACCTGTCCTCCGTCCTCCAGGTGTTCTTCGACCTCATGAGGGAAGTCCGTAAGAAGAAGATGTCTGAGAGCAAAGATAAGAACGGGCCGAGCGGCGGCAGGAAGAAGAAGAAGTGCTGCGTTCTTTAGACCGCCCACACCTCTGGCTCCGCCCACTGGGAACCTCCCACCTATTTATCTCCTCCTCACATTCCTGTCACTCTGAAACACTCGTCTCTACATTGGGCTGCCCTGAACTTATCTACAATCACACTTCTACCCTCAACTGAACCAATCTAGAATCATGGTTCTACCCTCAGCTCATCCAATCTAGAATCATGTTTCTACCCTCAACTGAACCAATCTAGAATCATGGTTCTACCCTCAACCGAACCAATCTAGATTGAGGTTTCTACCCTCGGCTCATCCAATCTGAAATCATGTTTCTACCTTTAGTGTTTCTACTTGAACTGATCTAGGATCCTGTTTCTAGTTGAACCGATCTAG